TTTTTTTTTTGGTAGACCTGGCAAGCACTTTTTGCCAATACAAAATGCCTATTTTTACATACATATTATAGGTATCATACCTTCTTTCATTTCCATCAAAGGAATTTATTATTCGATAACTCCTTTAGCATATTAAGTATTTAAACAACAACACACTTTGCGTGTTACCTATGTACCAGCCTTTCTTTTCATAACATTTGCATGCACTGCAGTGTGCACGTTTTATTACTTTGTGGCGTTAATCGCGTAGCTATGAATGACAAATTCAATAAACCCGGAAGAGAGCTGGCATCAGCAGCGCAACGATCCAATCAGAAGAGCAAACTTTCAGTGGCCCTTATAAATGAACTAGGGAGGGTGGAGACAGATGAATTGATTTAAAAAAGAGTAGCAAAATATAAAAAGGATTACAAAATTGTAGGTAAATTAATGCGAATACTCATACAGCCGCATATACCATTGTACGAGGGTGGATTAAAAAGTTCTTTCACTAGGAAAAAAGTAAAATGAGTCGTTTTCGTGTTTTCCATGATAGCAATTTCTAATCTTTGAACAGAAAAAATATTTTTCAACAAATTTTACGTTGAATTCGTTTTAACGATTGAAAGAAGTTTTATTCAATTTGTATACATATTTGAAAACTCATGCACATGCTCTGGCTATAGCTGAGTGTGCAGAGGTTGCTATTATTCGTTAAGTACCAAGAGATCCTAGGCTCCATTGCCGTCTGCCTCAATCTACATTTTTTGACTTTTGTATGGTTTTTACTATTAAGAAAAAGTGGAGAATTCTTATTTCTTGGAGGGCGTCAGTCATAGAGGTCAAATATAATGTTCAAAAGATCTCGGACTTATTGGCCAACCCTCGTACACATACATATATATGTATATAAGCAAGGCTTTCCAAGGATCCTCATAGTTGGCTTTCTACACCTGATTGGTTATCAATTGGAGCTGCTAATGCGGATGCTCAAACGACTCTCCATGATGGTACATACATACATACAATCTGTTTTTTTATAAATATGAATGCATGCACTGAGCAATCTACAATAGTATGCATAAGTCTATGCAGGTGACTATGAACGACAAAAAGAAAATGGCAAAAGTTACTTAAAATTTATACTTTATTCAATATCCATATATTTGGTACATGCAGGCAGGTATACGCATTCTCGCCCACACAAAGAAACTTAAAATTACAATTTACGCACGAGTGGGCAAAGGGATAAAAGTTTTTTTTTTCTGTGCAGCAAATTGAGATGCATTCATTTAAGTTTTCCATATTGTTGCATATCGAAAAGAAAAAAGTGTATCTTAATATTAAGAAAATAAAATGAATTTAATGCATAGCTGAAAACTTCAAATAAAACTGCGGACGGAAAAGAAAAATAATGGAAGTGAGCGAAGTAAATGAAAACTTCGCTCGAGTGAATGTATGTGTCTGCTGAGTAATCGAACAGGATTAGCAAAAAAGGGGAAAGCCAATATTATTATACATTGATACTATCTGCAACACTGTTTCATATTCATTAAAGGAGTGTGGGAAAAATCTGTGGAAACGCAAATTCACATGTCGAAGGGTTTCATTACATAAGAAAATATCTAAACTCTGTGTAGAGCATGTGCATTCCAAATATGTATATGGAAAATCACTGCGACTGCCGATAAAACTATTTCTCAATTTCAAGGAAACAAGTGAATATTTTTTTTTTTTTTGTTTAACTGCGAATGTCGGAGAAGATGGTATGATGAACGTTATGATCTTCAAATGATAAAAGCACAGTCAAACTCATAAAGAGTAACATTGCGCTGGCCTTAACATATTGCACAATGGCAAAGAAAACTTTCTCCATAGTTGAAAGTTGACTTAATTCGCATTTATCAACTTTATAGCCTATTTCCACCAAAAGCATAACTGCAGTTAAGATAAGTACCAATTATTTCAACATATGGTGATTGGCAATCTTGATTTCTTAGTTTTTGCTTTCATACTTTCGTTTACTTGTACTCAATGTGACTAATTACCCCGTTCGAGTGATAATATCGTTTGTCCAATTGTCATAAACTGCAGTTAAGGCTTGGTGGAAATGTCCTATTATAGTTTGAGATTTATATTACGTTCCAGATGGGCGAAGGCGATAAACCATTCTCGCCTTTTCTAGCCCCAATCTGACGTTATACCTTGTTGGCTCTCAAGCCCTTTATTTATCTACATTGAGCCATTATTTTGTAGATGATAGTGGTATTTGTGTACCACAAATAGTGGGGAACAGGTGCCCAATTTATTGACACTTCATTCTTTAAACGCGTTTTAAGTCTAACTGCTGTTTTCTGAACAGAGGCTTGCGGCATTTGTTTTCAGACCGCATTCCTTTTCACTAAATTCCTAAAATACCCTAAACTTTTCGGATTAACTTGCCCAAAACCTGAAATTCTGGAAAATGAAGAGAAAACCTCAAACAATATTTATGCTCTTGGGGAATATGCTCCGGTCTTCCAGGCTAAGGTATTTGCAATCCTCAAGGCCTTGGGCCACGTGATGGAAAATACGTTCCAGCTTTGCCAGCCAAGTTGCGCTTAGGGCATTGGCCAGCCCTCTAACTACTTCTAAACCAGTTCGGGAATGCAAGACTCGACTAAATTATGTTGCTTTACCTGGTTGCCAGGTCATTTGGGAGTACCTCAGACCACGCTTTCCTCGGTCATCAAACAGGTATAGCACTCCCACCTTCAGTCATCGAAACCACAATCAGAAACTGGGTGAATACTTTGCTGAGCAATAACTGGGTGACATCGACGGACTGGAGGTGGGCAAAACTCATGTTGGTTTCAATCTCAGAGAGTCCGAGTTGTTTGCTCACTGCAGACAACACGTTGGACTAATGACTGGTCACTTCCCAAACAGAATTGAAGTAAAAGGCATGACATTTTGAGCAAAAGGAATTACTTATTTTTATTTATACGGCCCAATATGTATAGCCCTTGACACCCTTTTTTATTTACTCCAACATATGACAGCGTACCTGTCTTTGTCTTATAAAAAGTGATTTTTTATAATTTTTCGAAAATTCACATCAAAACTGAAACTGAACTGAAATAATTCAGTCAGTCACTCAGTCAGTAATAGCCCTCGTACCACTAGGACATTAGTTCGTGTGCAAGTAGACGATTTACATCAACATTTCGGCCAACAATACATATAGGAACTGCAACAGGACAACAACGAGATTTCACTATAATTATCAGGAAAAAATTGCAAATAAAATTGTAAAAGGCCAGGAGATTACAACTATCCATAGCCACGTACCAAGCATATATATAATGTCCTTTGAAGCAAACCTTTATCGTCAATTTGATTTACCTCGGGAGCAAGCATCCGAAGCAGAAAAACAAGAAGCTCAAGAGCTACCTTCAACATCAAAACAACGCTTGCCAACAGCAGAGCCTTTTGAACTATCACCACCGGTACCGCACCCCAGCTACCCTCGCTTACTTCCAGAAAAACAAGAAGCTCATGAGCTACCTTCGACATCAAAACAACGTTTGACAACACCGGAGCCTATTGAACTATCCCCTCGGGTAGCACACACCAGCTATCCTCTCTCACTTCCAGGGAAACAAAGCCAGAACAGCTGGAGCAGTCAAACACTTTTCCCTGCACCAATACTGCAATCCAGCACGCCAGTAGCACACGGTACAGCCAATCACATATCCAGCAAACGCACACAGCGAGCCAATCAACCCGCTCTCAATACGTTCGCCTACAATCTCGTTCAACAAATTGTCCAAACGGTAGGTGAACTTGAAAATACGCTGTTGGAAGATCAGCAGAGCGATTTCAATTTGCGTTTGGCTTACGAACGCCAAACAGAAAAACTTAAGAATATGTGTCAGTCCTTGGATAATGAAAAAGCGCGTAATGTACGACTGATGGAGTTAATTCGTGGTGTTGAGCTATCTACTTCGACGGAAGATGAGGAACCGGATTATGCGCTTTCACGATGTGGTGCTACGGAACGTTGGTCACGAGCATCAGATGTATATGAATCGATAAGCCCGCTGTTGTTGCAACAGAGGTAAATGTCATTAAAATCACGAAGAGCACTAAAGATTATTCAAAAGAGTAAACAGTCAGTAATTGAGCGCATCCTTTTAACTAAAATAAAGTAGTCATATAGTTCAGATGCCATATCTTAGGGTAGATATAGCGCGGCCCTAAGTGTTTCGCAGGATTTAACAAGTTATCTGAAAGTATAACAGCTCTAAATCCATCGCTAATATTTTGCAGTATATCCCAATTTGGTGGAGAGTGACACTTATTACACATACGAATGAATTCTTATAGTTTTGAATTGGTATAGTTTGGTGTAATTGAAACATCATTGTTTGCTTCTATGAACGGCAATGCAAAACTAACTTCCATGAGACCCATGGAGACGTTTGCCCCTGGATGTCCCTTACATTATACGGCGCTTTTGCTTAGCCAAATTAGTGGCAAACAGCTAAACTTCAATTATACTACATTGTTTTTGATGTGGCTCTTTAATACTTTTCAGATATGATGAACTCTGCAATTCATACAAACAATGCCGGCGCCAACTTATAAAAAAGGAAAAGCTTCTCAAATTAAGTCGTTGTGAAACCGAGACTGCAAAAGCGCGTTACGACAATCTACTCGATGAATATCAAATTGAACAAAAACGTTTTGAACATGTGTGCTTAATGTATCTACAATTGCAAGCAAAGAAGAATTTTGAGGTATGTCTATGGGCATACATATATAGTTCGACCTTATTGCCTTTTAAATGTTAGGACCTTAAATTTTCTTATCTACCACAAACTGGGATCCTCTCTTCAATTCTTTGTTTGGTGCTCTGTCTTTGGCTTTTAAGTGTTGTACAAGTTCAATATAGTTAAGTTTAACTAAAGATTTAACTATACTTTAAAATAGATAAGTTAACAGCCCTAAATCGATACCTATCGACCTATCGCGGCAGCCAGTTCGAAAACGCCCTATCTCAGAATTTCATTGAAAAACGGCCTATCTCAGAATTTGGTTGAAGAATGCGCTATTTCAGCTGCCGATTCAGAAACGTCCCATCTCAGCACATTTCCAATGTATTTTCAGCTGAGATAGGGTGTTTTTCAACCGGATTCTGAGATAGCGCGTTTTTCAATCAAATTCTGAAGGAGGGCGTTCTTGGAAAGTTTTCTGAGATCGGGCGTTTTCGAACTGGCTGCCGAGATATGTATGTCGACCTTCCAGTCAGGTGACGAAATGTTTCTTACTTCACATCAATGAAAAAAAATAATTATAGAAACTATTCTGTAAATTATTTTAAAAACTAGTATGTCCTTTTACTTATCCAAAGAGGTGTAATACCTAAATTAAAAAAGTATCTTAAATTAAAAAAGTAAACGTTCCGACATAGTTTTCCCTATTCCTTATGCAAAATGTCATTATTTTCCTTAAATTAGTTTTTACGACGCTTGTTCTTCGATACTGCATCATTTCGTCAGCCGCGTAAGCATCTTTTGTTTTAGGACATTATCGATCGGAGTCGTCTCGTTGTTTGCATTATATTATATACATATGTATATATGTCATTATTTACAGGGTGATTAAAAAATTTTATGGAAAGTCTAATTCGTTAGCCATAAATAAATTCCTTTTAAACGCTGTATTTTATTTAAGACTCCAACTAATGTTATGCTGTATCAGTTATTTTAAATTTCGAATAGGACTTACGTACCATTCTGGATTTTGAACGAAAATGACTTATGACCTTTCTATATTAAGCTAACAATATACATACATATATAAATGGATGTCTATATTTGCTATCATAAGGCCACTATAGGGCTTCCTTAGAATAGGCAGTGAGGCCAAGGTCTCCTTTGATCTTTCGAACGCGGAGGTTTTCTTGTACTTTTGGGTAACCTTTTACATCGATAAAAAAAATGTGTGGGTCTTAAATAACGCAGCGCCATTTATGCCGAAGTAATACATATGCTCCATAGTGTAGTTAAACCACATGCTATTTATGTATATCGCTTAATGAAACAAATTTGTATAATCAATTCCTCAATCCATCCCAGCTCCAACGCCTACGTGACGCTCTTAACAGCGCGATCGAGTGTATAGTGAGTGCAGAGAAACTAATCGATTGCTTGGATGAAGAGACGATTACATTGTATATGAATCGAAATATCACCAACTTATGTGACGAGAATGATTTTTACAACGACCACAAGACCGACACTATGGAAACGGACCATATTGCAGCATTTAAACAAAATTTTGAGTTATTTATGAAGTCTTTGCGTCTCTGCCAGAGGGCTCAAAAAGTAGCAGAAACCAATACAAATCAATGAATGCTATGCATGGCCACCATCGGAGGTGCCGTATTGGCAATAGGATTCATCATTACATATTTGAGTGTACATATGTGTAAATAAATATATAATTAGAGAAATATTTCAACAAAGATTTTATAGAGGAAAAAAATATATATTTTATATGAATATACCAACTTTTATACGGCGGGTATATTGCAACATTTTTTGCCAACAATTACAAATATTTTCTTTTTGCGAGCGCAGTTTTTTTTCGATGAAGAGATAAATATGCATTATGTATATATTTTTATATGTGCATGTACATATGTAAGTAAATACTTGCAATAAAAAATTTCCCGAAAAAAATAAAACGAGTTTTAAGTATTTTCTTAATAAGTTGATTTTTTTATTTGTTCTCTTTCAATTAGCATTTTCCTTTGCACTAGTACTAGTTCCGTTACATTCTCAGTTAGTTTTCCTTTGCGTAACAGCTGAGTTTACAATTTCTTAGGATTTTTGCTGAAATTATTCTATTTTCGCTTCTTTTATAATAGTATATTTTCGCACATACGTATATATGTGAATGTGTACATTAGAGTGCATCACGCTCCATACAAAAAAAGGGTATTGTTTTTCCATCGGAATTATACAATTTATTTTATTTTAATGTTTATGTCACAATATTTCGGAAAACTATTAAGATTTGTGTTAGCTGGTTTCATTAGAAAATACCTCCAAATATATATTTTTGTTTTGTATCATTTGAGGTGATTTTTGGAAAAAAGAATTTTTTTAACTAATTTTATTTATAAAAATCTCGACCTTGAAGGTCTTTTCAAATCGGCCTAGCTCACGTAAATCTTAGTATTTTTCTGAAATGTTTCGGCGCAAGTCTTTAAATATAATAAATTTTAAAATTTCAGTAGAAAAACCGCGATTTTTTTTTTCATGAAACACCCTAGTCGACACATATTTTTGCACATACAAATAGTTACATATATCGCACACGATGTTCAAAAGTGACACAAGTCAAAATTTAGCATTTTTGAAATTATTTACTAAAAATTTACACTGAGCCTTTATTTACCTTTCAGCAAAAGCTGGAATAAATTTTTATTATAATTTGTTGAAAAAAAAAACTAAGGTAAAGTCCCACTGCCCATATGCTACGAAATAGTTTAGACTAGTCATTTTGAGTTGTGTCACTTTTGAGGATCGTGTGCGATATGCATTCATAAGTAAAATTGGTTCCTTCCTTGCACTGGTTTTTCTTTAGTTCATGGCATATTTAGTTTACGTAAATATGTGTGTAAATGTTTTATAAGTTTTTTTATTTTATATACATATAGTGCTCATTGAAGCCAAAATAAGTATTTACGTATGTATTGGAAGCATTTTTTGTTCTATTTGAACTACTTTCTCATAAGCTAGTTTGTGGGAAGCGATAATAAAATTTACTCTTTTCCGTGGGTATGTAGTATGTAAGTAGAAAAAATATTGCGTTGGAGTGTTATTCAGTCAACTTCAGAAAGGGAATAAAAAATAGCAAAATATTTATGGATTTATTAGTTAGACTGTGGTCTCAAAACTAGAAAAAAAAAACATTTTGCGTGAAAGTATTTTTTATATTTTGTCACTAACTTTCATTTAAGCTACCAAAAAAATTTTTTTGTCTTATGTAATTATGCGACTGATATTTAGCTGCCTAAAATTTCTGGATGAACATAACACTATCATTTTCGAACTTTGGTATATAAATTTACCTTACGAAATTAATTAATTGTTACTCTGCACAATTACAATTAACCAATTGTTAACTGTAGTGGTAATAATTAATAATTAATTAATTAATTGTTAATGGTCCTTACAATTAAAATTTGCCCAACACTGTTATTTGGCTATAAAAATGTTGATTCGGTTTCTAACTAGGAAACTACAAACTTATAAGAAGCAAGTATTTAGCTTATTCGATGCCTTCAAGCAACGATACAAGCTTCGTTCTTAAAAAAAAAGAAAAATATGTGCCTATTCAAGAGAATAGGTGTGTATGCATTCAGCTCTGAGATAGTTATCTGCAGTGAAAGCTCCCATAAGCGGACACCGATGGTTGCTTACTTTTTGTGCGCCTATAGGACAAAAAAAAATTAAATAGCGGATTTCTAAATTAAAAGAATATTTATTCTCCAATAGACAAAAACAGAATGAATGGAGAGTAAATTCAAATGTTAAGGTGTCATCTTTTCTACCGACAAATCTCATTGCCCTCTTCTCTCAAGCAGCAATATGCGCAAGGATTAACATTAGACTAAAACCAGACATTTTTGAGTGTTCGCGTCCGTTTATAGAAAAGTCCGTGTATGAGAGCTTTCACTGTGTAGTATGATTTCGGTGACCACCCGTCCTTTATTTTAAAGGACAGTCCTTTATTTTAACCCCCTGTCCTTTATAATTTTTTTTTCAAAATAAAGGACGCCTTTTGTCCTTAATTTCTTAAATGTCCTTTAAATCGGCTCTGCATTTTTTCTATTTAATCGGTAATCTTTGTACAATCTATAAAGCACAGGGAAAGTTGTGCCCAGAATCGTGTTGTACGCTGAGTTTCCAGTTACACTGAAAGAGAGCAATAAACCCCCTGCTGCACAGTTGTTCAAAACTGCCATTTAGTGTACGTAATTCACTGGAGCCTTCATTTTTCACTTAACTCGATTAATTTTTATTTAGTTTTTTTTTTTTATGAACGCTTACAATATTTGCAAGAGACCAGTTGAACCTGATTTCTGAACTTTAATTGATTATATTAAATTTTTTAGTGCAAAATGCAGAAAAAGTAGCAACTTTGAAGTAAATGTTCCACCTAATAAAGGTTACATAACAAAAACTTGTTGAAAAGAAATGTATGATTCTCCCAAAACAAAAAACAAAATACAAAAAAATTGGTTGAAAAATGAAGGCTCCGCCGTTGCATTATGAACATTATATGTGACCTGGTCTACGAAAAGGGAGCTTACGTGCGAAAACTAGTTTTCTGTGAAAAAGCTGTTAAAAGTAAGCAACTCGTTTCGTCAGTTTCTCATTATCTCGTTAATTGTTCTCCGCGCCGGACGTCCAGTAAGTGTTGTTGTTGGTCCAGTAAGTGTTGTTGTTGGTCGGAATATTATTATAGTTCATCGTGTAAGTTGCTAGTGTGGAACATTTAAAAAAGTAACACTGAAGAAGTGACGTTTACTGTTTCTGTTGATTATCGTCTTCGCATTTCGCATGAAAGGAAACATGAGTGTTGATGAGGAGTTCAGTGCCGTATACGGACAATATTTCCATGAAAAGGATGATGAAAACGATGATGAAAACTATGAAGAGAGCGATGATGATGAAGACGAAGTATGTGTATCTCAGGCAGAAGATGATACCGAACAAACTTTTGTTAAGATGGACCTGTATGTTGTTGATATAAAGGAGGAGGAGCTGGTAACAAAATTTCTGTCAAAAGATTGTTGTAATAATGAATGCCATACACTGATACCACGGGAAATGATCGAGAGTACGCGGAACAATTGTTTAGAGATGTCGAAAAATGAACTTGATTTAGTGATACTAAGTCACATCGAAGTTGGAATTATGAGTAACGAAAAGCTAGAAAGTGTATACGCAAAGCTTGCTGGGCGGAATAAATATGGACAGAGACAGGATACAGAGGCATAGAATTCAATTTACCTTCTACAGAGTACCTGTTTGTCGTTCGTTTTTCCTTTTTGTACATGCCTGTACGACGAAGCGTTACGAAAATTTAGTACGTCATTTTCACGCACAGGGTATAACAGTGCGCCAACACGGACTGGCAGATAAACCGAGTACACATCCAAAGTCATTTAAACCGGCTGACATCGAAAAAGCTGCTAAATTCATCGAGTCTATAGCCGATTTAATGGCTCTACCACTGCCCGGACGACTCCCAAAATTTAAGGATTTTCGGATAATGAAACTGCCATCCAGCGAGACGAAGTCCTCAATTTATCGAAAATACATTTCTTCCCTCAGTGATGACGAATTGAAGATGAGTAATTGCAGTTTTCGACGGATATGGTCCAAATACATACCCCATGTTACAGTTATGAAACCAGCGGATGATCTCTGCGATGTCTGCCGTGGTAAGTAGCTCATTATTTTCTCATTTTATAGTTGTATCAAAAGTTGAGATTAAATTCAGTATTTTTTCTTTTAATAGGAAACACAATATCGATTGCGCAAGCCAAAGGTGTTACTGACATTGAACGCGCACAGAAGCTTAATCAATTTCTTGATCACCTCCACCGAGCCCGAAATCAACGAGAATATTATCAAAGTTGGTGTAGAAATACTGACCCTACAGCAGTCGTTCTGTCATTTGATTTTGCCCAAACCGTTCACTACCCGGTCAGTCCACAACAACCTGGTACAGCATACTTCAAAGCAACCAAGAAGTGCGGAGTCTTCGGAATTACAGACGAAAAACAAAAAGTTCAGGTTAGAATTTCAAACTGAAGCATAGGAACTCAAATTGCTCGCCTTTACAGGATCTTACTTATATATATTTTTTTTTTTACAGTACAATTACATGATAGACGAAAAAGATGACGTTGGTAAAGGACCTAACTGTGTTGTGAGCATCCTGCATTATCACCTGCAAACCAACTATAAAGGCATTGAAACACTCGTTCTTTTCTGTGACAATTGTGTTGGGCAGAATAAGAATAACACTGTACTATCATATCTGCAATGGTGTTTGGCTCGGGGTCTTAACAAAACTATTTTATTCAATTTTCTACTTACCGGGCACACTAAGTTCGCGCCTGATCGTTACTTCGGTATTTTCAAAAGTAAGTATGCCGTCAGTAACATCGACACGTATGCAGATTTATTGCAGTGTGTCGAGGCATCATCACCTGGGGGTTATAATAAAGCTGTATCGCTATTTTACAGCTATTTTAAACCACTGTACAAGTCACTTGTTGGAATAACGCAATTCCATCATTTCATAATCTCTACAGATTGTGTAAAAACAAAGAAATTCGCACAGTGAAGAAGTGCAGTCCTTTAAGCTTCTGTTAAAACCTACCCTGAAATGCCGAAAATTATACAACCAGCCGGTTTATCTTTGGAACGTCAGTGGTGCATCTATCACAATCTTCGCAGCTTAGTTTCGGATATATCTAAAGTAGATATTGTGGCTCCATTGCCGAAAGATTTGCATCGAAGAATCGGAAGGCAAAAACTAGTGAAGATGTTCTCAAACCAGACGAGGAACCAGGTCCATCTTCCTCAGGATCAACACGTAAAAAGATCTCAAGGAAAACGACAACAAAGAAAAATACATAAACTACTCAGCATTATTATTTTTGGCCCATATTACGTTTTTCTAGTGTATAATCATGTCTTTATAGCTTATAATTCAATGTATTTTGTTCATTACCAATAAATTATATTTTGTCGTATTTTTACTCTTCTTTCTCTACATTTTTAGTACACTTCTAAGCAAGTTAGGATTTTCTGCTGTTCACCACGTGAAAAGCAATCTCATCTTCCATGCGAATCAACCCTAAAGTGAAAATTGATTTTTTGACACCTAAGCCCCCCTTTCCGTAGACCAGGTCACATATTCCAATTTTGAACCACAGTGTGCTGGCTTCGTGCAGTATGAATTATGGTAAACGCATTTTGGTAACAAAGGATGGCGAAGTCCTTGAAAAGAATCTGGCTTAATTTTTCACTACAGCAGAGGAACTTGTACAATTAAATAACATAATTAACTGGTAAATATTTGATTTAAATTACGATATGGGTAAGGTACTTTTATCATATACAAGTTGTATGTACGTATTCCCAAATCATTAAAAAAAAATTTCCTTTATTTTACGTTGGTTAATATGGTCACCGTAAGTATGATGGATATTAACCGATTCAAGGCTTTCGAAGCACTAAGGGGAGATTTAAAAACATATGTTTAGTCGCAGATGTGAGAATTTAAAAAAGCTTATATTTAACTCAAATTTAATCAGCTTTCTTATGAGAAAGAAAATATTTTGGTCCTAGACGGTATCAGAGTTTTTCGTTTGCTTGCCAAATAAAAAAACTAGTAATATTCTTATTCAGCTATATATGAGTCTATCTCGCTACAAGCATTTTCTTTTCTGTAATTCGAATTTCGAATATGTATGTATGTATATGAATTATCTACTTTTTGTTCCACTTTTGTAAGTACGCAGTTTATCTGCTTCGTAGTTATATAAGAAAAATCACGAAATATTGCAGTCATTTACGAGTATAAATTCATTGCATCAACATTTACATATGTATGTGTTTTTGTTCCGCCATATTCTTTTCATGGTACATACATTTATCCTGCATTTCAAGTTTTATATGTAGATATTTACATGCATCCTTTATTGAACTCATTTAATCAAAACACGCATTCAAAATTTTATTTAATCTACACACATGAATTAGTTTAATTGGGACTAATTTTCCATTATGTATATGTTTTACGGTAATTTCGTTACAGTATAAATTATAAATTGCTATTTGGGCAAATCATCTAAATGCGCAAACGGCTCATAACTATGTAAACCTCGTAAACTTACTTAATTTTGTGTGAAAAATCGTTATATTTACGAGGTTTGCGCGGTTATAAGGCATTTACGCGTCTCCATGAATACCCTTATTATTTTAGAAGAGTTAATTAATTGTATGTGCTCATATTTACAATTGTAAAGGGAAAGCAGCTGTGGGTCTTCAGTTCGTTAATATAGCACAAAATTTTAAAAGTCATTAACGTTAACGAGTTGCGGCAACACACTTCGTTAATGTGAAAGAATTTTCATGAATATATGCTTCTAGTATTTAACTATAGTCGTAATTTTATTTTAATAGTCAATGCAACTTTTATAAAAACAACTGTACACGCTCAACTCATTGGCTGTTCATTCACGTTTCTTTTTGTTACAGTTACTTAAAATGCATTTTTTTATTTAATATTCCACATATTGCTATAAGCTTAATAATATTTTGTATTTGTATTTTAACTTTCTTTTATTTCTGCTTATGTTTTTTGTTTTATTTTCGTTTGTTCATAGTACGGCACGCCGTTCAACAATGGCCAACGATATTATTTATTATTGTCTTTTCAAACAAGCGCAAAGCTTGGTAATTCAACAATTAAGGCAAGTCCATTTTAGTTACTCTTTGGTGCAGTTGACTTCACAATAACAGCACTGTTAACATACATATTTTGCTTATAAACCACTGTTCTTTAATGTTATTTCATAAAATTCTAATTTTATTTGTGTGTTTGTTATTTATAAAACGTAATCTATGAGGGAACTTTGTGTAAGCATTCATCGAATTAACTACTAACTCAATTTTCTTATACATATTTTCACTTTTTCGTGTACGAATTGTGTGATGTATGTATTCACATGGTGCATCCATTTTGATTTACTCATTTGCATAAACATTTTATTCAAATATACTTAGGGAGTTTTTCAACAGCAAATGTTCTGTTTTTTTATTACGTACTTATGCCTGTACAGGACGCATTCATATAAGGTGGTGTTACCAGAACAGCTGATTTGATATTTTTGTCTCTGCAGTAGTTTAGTAATACAGAAAGTTATTTTCTATTTTCTTTTATTTTGACACCTTAAAGTACCAAAAATCAATAACAAAATACACGGGATTTTTACTTATATGCACTTGCTACCATGTTATACGAATGCGGCTTGCTTATGTACGTAAATATAGTGCTTGTCATAACTATATGAAACCCACATATTGACAAGTTTTGACTAATAATATATGTAGTTCATTCTGTAACAAAAACCATATACATAAATCCAAATTTCTAACTTCATACAAAAATTATAAAAAGTCAACAACGTATCATAAAAATTGCACACTTTATTTAGGATTTTTTTTTTTTGGGATACAGTTACTATATTATAGCCCATTCAATTATACGTTTTATTTTAGGCAATTTTACTAATTAATCCCTTTGCACAAAAAATTTTGTAAATGCCAGAAACTTTTTGTTATTTGAATGCCTAATAGAAATTCGGCATTAATGTTCCTGTGGATGGTTATAGTAAGGACGTGTTCAGAGCAAAAAAAAAATCCCAAAATTTGATAAATAAAACTAGGAAGCATAGTAACAGCGGCATAGATGTCAGCTTATAAGTTTAGTTGCGATTAACGAGAATGCACTGCATTTATTGCTAAGTGTGTTAAATATAATCAGCATATTTTCATGCTCTTAACTCAATGTTTATGAAAAAAGCACTGCTTCTCAAAATATCCTTGCGTCTACGTCCTAATAACTGTCAATTACTATAATTTTTTTATAGCAAATAGACCCTCTAGCGGTGCTGAAGAACAACAAATAAAGAGTGGCTGCCAAAATTTTATTCATCACACTCAAACTGTGCGCGGCTACAGTGTCTACCAAACTGTTCTACACCTTGGCGTAAATTTTTTGCTACTGATTTCAAGTTGGTTAAAATCCATGGCCCATAAGTCATAGGCGTAAGTTAAAACTCTTTTTTGTTAAATTAAGGTTTTGAGTTTAGAATCGAATTAAAATTGTGTCAATCATAGACATCTTAGAAACAGCTTTTTGTTAAGATGAGAGAGAACAGAGAAAAAATTTACTCGGCAATATCTATAAAGAAATATGAGTACTTTTATTAGTTCACCCTGTGTCCGCTGCAGGATTGCTGATTTAGCACGCTGCGAAGTCGTGGGTTCGATTCTACAGTCAGTAAACATTTTTTTTACGTATTATTTTTTTTTTTTTTGTTAAAATATTATTTAATTTTTTTTTTGTAAATATAGTTATTTTGACTTTTTAATTAAAATTAAACTCCAAAGAATTTGATTAACTTTGTATAATTGTGTGAAATACCATAAATAAATAAAATAAAATCTAATAAAATAAAGTAATAGTTATATTAAAAAATGGAAAAATCAAAAATAAAATAAAATGCATTTTAAGTTGATTATGAAAGAGTTAAATGGTGATTACCATAAAAAACAATTTTAATCATTAAAACCTTTTTCTAACTTCTCTATGACTACGGGCTATTGAATCTAGAGTGGGAAAACTATTTAAATAATTTTACACTATGTTACAAATAAGGCAGATGGTGTTATTGTGCATTTTGATGCGTTGTATAATTGTTTAGGTTTTATTTTTTATTTTGTCTGCTTAAAATCATAATTTAGAAATGGGTTTTCTCTTTATCGACGAAATGACGAATGACGAAAAATTGTCTACCATTAATCAATGTGTGGCATGTGGAAACAGACTTGTTGACGTTTTTGTCATTAAACGTTTTTGTCATTTAATGACCAGTGGAAATCCGGCGTTAGAAAATATCTGTCAATGGAAGTTTGATTTTACGATTTTTGTATGAAGCATTTACACATAATTTACTAAAAGACAGTCATAACTCAAAAAATTAAATTTTCGCATAGACATGCATAACAATTTTTCAATTTGCCCACAAAATGAAGGAACACGAGATGATTATTGCCTTCTTACGCGGAAACTACACAATCTCGTACTTTATGTAACAAGTAATTCTTCATCATTTGCTCAAATATTTCGTTTTGGAGTTATAACAGTCTTTTAGTAAATAAGCGATAGGTACTTATTTTACTACTTTGTACACATGTACATATGTATGTATTTATGTACATAATTTATCTTACAGCCAAGTTAATTGGTTGGTATTACTTTCCTCAATGCAATTGGGAAAACTCGTAACATTTTGTTAGATAAGGTTGTTTTTGATTCTCATATGCACAATATCGCTCATTTAGTTCGATACTGTCATAACTCATAAAACGAAATCGTTACACCTATGAAATTTTGTTAGCTGCTTTATGCATACATACATATATGTATGTACATTAATATTTATCTAAATGTATGCATGTATACATTTATATATACAATATTTGTGAGCACGTAAAATGTTCGTTATTGCTTAATTGCAATTTTCTTTGCTTTCGTGAAATTGAAAATTAACAAATTAACATAGTTTTTTATGTAAAATTTATTACTTTAGAACTGTAACAACTAACTTTATAATTTAAGAGGCATAATTTTTTGTATGCTAAACATAAAACCTTAACTATGTAAATACTAGCTATTTTCTGTCGCGTATGCCATTGTATGTATTTACACATGTTTCGTTTGTATGTACATATGTATGTATGTTAATTACTGCTGCTGCATTTCGGCGACTAACAGGCTAAATGTTTTTACAATTTTCCTAATGTGAATGCGTTACAATTTTTAGTTTGGTCACTTTTTGGTAGTAGTAAATATTTCTTAATTTTTTTTTTTGTATTTTGTTCGTTTTTGTTTATCGCAATTGCTCTTCGTTGCACGTGCTTGGTCTCACAATATTTGGCCACATACTTGCATACACACACACGCACGCCCGCGCACACACACACACGCACATACTTTTTAGTTGGTCACACTTCACGTGCTCTTTACATCACAGAGGCGATCATACCACCAGGTCACTAAGTCGAATGGCTTGAAATCGCTCAACACTGGGCTGGGCGGTTCGATGCAGTAAATCGATGCGGTCGGTTGTGGTGAAGTACACACCGATGAGGCAGCGGATGATGTTGAGGTGGATGCGATGGATGAGCCGGCTATATTGGCAATATCAATTTAATGATGAGTTAATTATTAAAAATTTTCAAATTAATATGATTTACACTAACCAGAGTTGTTGTTGGAGTCCGCCGGCTGAGCATGCCCATTGCCATCAAACGCTGAATCGTAGGGATTATGCGCCACAATGACATTCCAAGCTGTTGATGAAGGATGATCAGAGATATTCATTATTTTTATGCAAGTTTTGTTAATTATAATATGATATATTATATATTTATATTTTGTTAATTATAATATTGAATATAAGCAATTAAAGAGAGTGTCGTTACGTGACAAAAAATGGAAGTTGATTTTTGCTTTTACTACAAAATCGTAAAACTCTGCGAATTGTGAATGGCTCATAGTAGGCTATATTTTCACAAAAAAATTATAAAAATTTTTTAAGCAAAGAAAAGTAGCCAAACCTCGCTAAAATATCTTTTCTTTCTTTACATTCTCGCCACCGTATACTCATACATTTTTCTTATCAATTTGTCAAAATAAATAAACTATTAAATTAGAGAATAGGTAGACTTAACTTAAAACTTAGCAAGAACGACCAAAAATTAAAAAAAAAAATCCTATGAAATTATGTTCTTATTTTATTATTTTCCCAATTTATTGTCTAAGACAATGATCTTACATAACTCCATACATAACTACATACATACATATCTCTCAAGTGGCTTTGCTTTTTTATTATATCTATGTATATCTGATAACACTTGTCCCGCACTTAAATGCACTTAGTCTTATTTTTGTCTTCCTCATTAATCTTTTTTTTTTTATACTTACAGTCATTGATGTATTGTACAATTTCCTCATGTTGCGGTGTTAATGAAACTTCTTCTATTTGTCGTCCATTGGAAGCAGATTTTTTGAAGACAGGACGTGGGGCACTGTAAAAAATCGAAACAAAAAATGCAATTATAATTTCTGAATATCAGATATTTAAAAATGGAATCGTTTGGAATGTATAGCTTAGGGGAAAAAGTTGCTAACAACATTTTAATCAAAAATTAAATTTTGATGCAGAAAACAAAGAAATTTAAAAGTACATCTGAAATAAAAGATTCAACTACATTTTTTTTTTACACTTTTTTTTCTAAAATTTGCATCGCACAACCTACTAAGTAAAAACACTGTCAACTGATTGTCCAAAAATATCTACAGCTGAGTCAACTGATTTGTGGCATTTCCACCATTTACATACATATCATTACATGAATAGAGAAAGGCCCTAATTTTTTAATGGAAAACCATGGAAATTTATTCCATAAAGAATAGGCAAAAGTGCAGCCCCAAAAACGGATCGAAAATGGAATCGGTAAACGGACAAAAATCCGAATTTTATCCACAAGGGTACAGAACAATAAAGACAGTGGGATTTTTTTGGTTTTCTAAGCTTCGTTTTGCTACGTATACGAGAAATTCTATAGCTAAAAATTTTATTCCAGTATTAAACTTGCATTTCTTAAAACTAATTTGATTTTTTTGTGTCACTTTAATTTACTTGTTGTGGTACTACTGATAAGAAACCACTTGTTTGGAATATTTCTCAATGTCTATTGTTTTCTGTTCTCGCCTTAATTATAAATATTGCTAATAAACTTTCCCTTGAATAATCTTATTGATTTTTTTTACTTTTTATGTAGTATTTATGCGCAGCCTTAAGCCTTCTTTTACTTTTTACTTTGTCTTTAAAAAAAAAACTGCTTTTTCATCGTTGCATAAATTCTTGATTGGCAGCCGAGTTTTACTTGTTTTGCCTCATTTTATACTCTGTGAATTCCTTACTCTAATTTGCATTACTTGTGCACGCTAATAAAGGGTGTCACAAGATTTTAGTTAATTAGAAAACACATTTGTTTATTGCATTTTTTTTCGACATAAAGTACATAAGATAAGGCAATGTCTGGAATACTTTTTTTAGAATGAGGAAAATTTCGACCAACAATACAATTCGACAATTTCCGATGCACCAGTAAAGCCGTAGCTCACTTTTGCCCAATGTGCTATGTAATCTATATTTAAATGAAAAATAATGCAATTGAAAAATAACACTGTGTCTATTTATTTCAAGTCTTGCGTAAATTTTGAAGCACCTTTTTTTTAAACTTTATGTATACATGCATGTATGTACATTAGACCGGGTCGTCCGCCATAAGTTTGTATTTCTTTGGTTCGCAAACTTATTTGCCGAGGTCGATTACTTTCAGGATATCCGAATAATTTCTTACGCTTGACGCGAAACATGAAACACTGCATGTATGTATGTACACCTAAGATATCTCTTCTAATTTTTTTCGAATTTCTACTAAAAAGTTCTAAATAATTAAATTAATAATTATGCTTCGGATTGGCGGAACATTGAACAACTCAACTATTCACATGTTTAATAAAGCTGTATTTAACCAACTCAAAGTGAGCAATATTTAAAACAAGCCTTCACAGTTTAATGGCAGATAAGTACCTATTATGAGCTCACAATTCGCACACCGTCTTCAAAAGGGTCACAACTCAAAATAGTACGTTTGTCAAAAAATGCTAAAACCTATTTCTTAGCACATGAGAATCATATGGGCAAGGGCGACTTTACCTTAAATTTTTTTAACATATCGTAACAAAAATTTGCTCCAGATTTTGCTGAAAGGTAAATAAAAGCTCTGTGTACATTTTTAGCGTATTTTCTCAAAAATGCCAAATTTTGAGTTTGACTCTTTTGAAGACGGTGCACGAATTATTCGATTGCCAAAGAACATTTATTTGCAAAGAAAATTTGACAGTAACGTGTGAAGTCTTTTTAATGAAAACGCACATTCAAAATTTATTATCAATGCGCTTCATGTCTCTGATAAGCCCTATATTGAATTAAAACGTTTTGGTCCTAAAGTCGATGCGGTTCGGTTTAGGGCTTTGAACCACTTAGAAACGCTTGTACGGGCACCAGAACCGGTTAATAAGTATCTGTGAGCCGAGGTTCGGTTCGGTTCGAATGATACATTTTTTTTTCTAGAGGTCAGCACGATCATCAACTCAAACAAAAAGCTCGAATCATTCGATTATTGTACATTTACAAAGCAGTAGCAAATAAAATTCAATAATAGAAAGGGTCAAATAAAAAACAGAACAGAAAATTTTTTTAGAGTGTTCTTTCAACTTGGATTCGGCTTTTCAAAATAAAAACGGTTCAGTTCAAAACCGGTTTTCAGCCCTGGTAAAATAAATGTGCCCAATTGTTTGTAATTTTTTGGCGAGGCACCCTTATGTAAATCTATGTAATGTGCATAATACATATGAATGCCGATAATATCGAGCCTACTTTACAGAAAGATTAAAGCCGAGTATATACTAAAAATTTTCTTGAATTTTTAATGACCAAACTGAAGTTTATCTAGGTGCGACTATTATGGAAAACGATCAGTTACGAGATTTGATTAGGTTGTTGGCTTAACCTGTGACTTTTTAGTCAATATGCTATGTACAAAAAATTGTATTTCTGCCACTAAAAAGTACACATCGCTAGTTTAGAGTGAAAAGTTGCTAAGTCCACTTTTTAAGAAAATTCATATTTCGTTTATACACAAGGCAAGGAAAATTTGCTTAGCCCAAAAGAAGCACCGAAAATCCGATAAAGTCAAAATAGTACGAAATTCTTTATCAAAGAAGAAGATAAAGATCGAATCCTCTGATTCGTATGAAGTTTTGGTTTTCTTTGAACAGGAAAAATTTTTGCTAAATATTTGAAGAAAATGTCTATTAGAAGTTTTTTCCTGTCCTGGAAAACTTTTAAAGTGGGACTTAGCAAGTTTTCACTGCAAGCTAGCGATATGTACATATGCACTTAAAATAAAATTAGAAATAGTCACGCTAACAACAAATGTTATGATCAGATGATTTAATTACCTTATTATTGCTTTGCAAGTAAAATTAAATGAATATGAGTTTTGCAAGTTAGCACCTTAGTGATGTACCCCACTCCGCTAAAATCCTAGCAACGCGAGAAGTGAAGTCATGTTCAAGAATTTGTATTGAAAGTCGAGTCACTTTTTATGCATGAGGCCCACTGTCACGGGAGATAAATCAAAGCAATATCAACCGAGAGTATTTGAATTAGTAGCAGTATTCAAATTTGAAAAGTCATGGCATGAAGAGGCATTTTTTCACAAAAAACTGTACTGTCCAGGATTTTAACGTTATCAAAAATTTGCCTACGATTTATAACTTTTTTGCTCTGATAATTTTATAGTTCGCATTTTGCGGCATTTAGTAAAATATTCTATGTACATTAGGGTGTCTCAGAAAATAATGAGAGAATTTTTTTCTGAGAAATTCAATACGCCTTACGTCTAATTTTTTTCTTTTTGACATAAATAATATAGGTTAGAATGGCTGGAGAGAGTAGCGCTCTCCGTACTGAGGCGAAATTATGATGTCATATGCAATCTTCGCTCTGCTACCATGCGCAGTGACACATAAGGTACTGTATACTTTCAACTTCTTCTTCGCATCTGTAACTACGACAGTAGTCCGGCGGGTTCACTCCCAATCTCGAAGCGTATGCGCCGCTTAGACAGTGTTCTGTAAGAATTTGTGTGAAAATGATTACCTCGTTCCGTTTTAGTCCCAAAAGTACAGACAAGGGAGGTTTCCCCAGCGTCCATTTGTTGCTTGTATGGTGCTGTTCCTAACATTTAGTTTAAAAGCGGCCATTTGTATAATTACCAAGAGCCTCCTCTGAGGGATGGGGATAGTCGTACTATTCCTGTCCAAGTCGTTGGCTTGGCAGGAAACGTACTCGGACCACAGGAAGAGGGCTGTTAGCTTAGTGGATTTAATGGAACCAGTATGAGTTTAACCTCTTACAATATCCAGACCACAATCGCTCCAGATGCTCGAGGATTTATCGATGCAGCTGAAGCTCCTCGTCTGCAATGGCAGTTGGTTTAACTCCGATGACGGCATTCACGTAGCGAGAATTGGTAAAAGTGGTGGTTGTCTTTCGGTGAATGTTGCTTAAGGCCTCACTGTACAGGGTTTGGTTTAGTAGTTGCGCGATATAATTTTGGAAAGAATACGAAAAACGACTATAAAATACTCAAAATTATTCGTTTCAAATCACCGCAAACTAAAAACGTAGACTTATTGCGTTTAAGCTTCACTTTTATGTATGGTGGCTTCGGTAAAACTTCGTAGCTAAAATTTAAAGCCAGTGCGGGTTATCGTCATCCTACAGAATTAAAACTTGATATGTAATAACCAGAAACTTACACTTCACCCGGCGGTCCTTACCACTTCCCCGTCAAATCTCCCTTACTTTAACATAGGCGCAGCCGCCTTATGGAGGTAAGAATTTAGAATATACATTTTGTGTCAGATATACATACTTCTGAGCCGATTTACCAAGTAAGGTGCGTAGAATGTAGAGCAGTCGCTCGGAGTAGTTCGGCGATCGGAAATAACTTCGGCGGCACGTTATTTGCAACTTACATACAACGAAAGGCGTGTTCAAGGAGGTGTTCATTTTGTGCTTTACTAATAAATGACATTGGTCCTGATGAAAATTCTAGCAAGAAAACATGGTTTACCTCGTAAGGTGCTTACCTATTTTTTCTGGGGCACCCTAACGTATTTTGATCTATGTATGTATATATATATATATACACAAGGTTTGTAGAGATTTGTAAACCACTGATCCGTCGCAGATAACGTATAGGCCGAGAAAGCGATTGATTACTTTACATGCATATATGTAAGTACATACATATGTATGTATTTACATACAATTGTATAAGGTAATAATGAACTGCTACTAATAGACGAAAAATATGCATGATAGCCCCGAAATTGACCTCTGTCAAGAAACAGAAAGCTTTTTGAAGCGACAAGCAAATACACT